AATTAAGTATTTCTTGGCTTGCATAGGAACCTTGTGATATTTGCGTACAAATATAATGGAGAACTATTATATATAACAAATCATTTGTAAATAAATGCAACATTTTATTTATCATTAAGTCATAAAAGGACTTATAAAATCACACTTTAAATGCAGTAATTGTAACATAAGCATATGTAGCTTTTTTAATGCTATTGTTGTTAGTTTTTTAGCACGAGTTCTTAGATAAAATATCACATCTAACTTTTTATGCTACAGTAAAAAGTTCTCATCAAATATCACATCTCAACTCGAATTGAAAACTCGAATCCGCGAAGTGAACGAGGACAATTGGTCCAAACTAATTGATTAACCGGTTGAACACATCCAGTTAACTGATCGACAAACATTCAAATACGAAGCTGATTTCTGAAACCTCATTTAAAATTCCAATTTCAAGTTCGTTTCTATATTTTGTTGTTTCCCTTTCAGATAATGTTCATTCGGAATTTTAGAGTAGGACTAGTTTCTTTATTTTGATTTCTAATTTTAGATAGGTTCCTCCATTTTTATTTCCGAATTATCTATACGGATTGATAGGATTGTTATTTACAATTCAACTATTAATAAAATCAGAGTTTATTTTAATTTCAAACTATCTTGGTATTCTCTAAAATCAATGAGTAATTGATATTTATTTTTTTAACAATGCATGAGCAAATCAATAGGTTTATAGTTAAATATCTTATTTTCAATATTCTGAGTGAATTAATGAATCTTATGAATTTAATTTTTTTAAAATATTTGCGTCACGCTTCCGCTACATCAGTTAGTGTTATATATAAGTCTTTAGGAGTATAATACTTGAACCTCTATTAGTGAATCCGTGCATTTTAGTTTTATTTATTTATCTATATTCATAAATCATTTGTATTCAAATCCTTGAGGAGAAATCCAAGTTTAAAGTTTGAACAATTAACATACATGTACCTGGGGAATAAAAAAATTCCCGTAATACGAGCTTTTACCGTTGGTCGCCTAACATAAACATGATTCCTTTTAAATGTCGGTTGCTTCCCTGATTTACAATATCAGACTATAGTTTATCCTTTTTATCATAAATGATCCGAGTGCCTTAAAGTGGTCTGGCCTAATAGAGAAATTCCAATTCATTAGGGGTTTTGATACAATCAAATAGAAAGTCTTAAAAGATGCCATATTCTTGTAGCTCAAACTATGAGATTGAATAAATCGTCGTCTATCTGTTGGGGATCAGGATTCCTTTCTCCTTTCCTTTCTTAAAACTCCGATTTCTACTGTTCATTTGTCATCTTTTTTACTGTCGTAGAACATGTACCACGTTAGTTTCTAATCGACTCGGAAAGTGTTTCAAACTCCGATTTCTACTGTTTATTTGTCATCTTTTTTCTTCAAACATTGCTTCTCGCCATAATATATGGGCTTGCTCTCGAAGTTAATATTCTCGGCAGTGGTTTCTGGTTTTGTAGGTTAAAGGCTCAATAACGAGATCACTTCAGAAAAACTTGGGGCTTGTATGTTCAGTTTAAATTTTTTTGAGTGGAATTGTCTTATAACAAATAAAAGAAGCATTTCGAGAAAATTTCATAAATGCTCAATTATGTCCCTCTCTTTTAAATTATTGTAAATAGTTCATTTTGTCCCATCATATTGAGTCGTACATGATCTCATAGTTTTAATTGCTAATTTATGGTGGTGTTACCTTAAAACGCTATACGATCAGTGAGGAGTCTTGTTAGGGCTTGTTTGGTTATGGATTCGAACTAGGTATTTTGAATAAGAATTTAAATTTTAAAATTTTGGTGAGAGGAAATACTGTGGAACATAACATTTCAAATTCAAATGTGAGAAAACAAAATACAGTAGCAGAATTCATAGATTTAATTGCTAATTTATAGTGGTGTTACCTTAAAACACTATACGATCATTGAGGAGTCCTGTTAGGGCTTGTTTGGTTTGGATTCAAACTAGGTGTTTTGAATCAGAAATTATTTTTTAAAATTTTATGAGAGAAACTACTGTAAGAGAACATTTCAAATTCAAATGTGAGAAAAAAAATAATGTAGCAGAACTTTAAACCGGATTTCAAATTCCTCTACCAAGCAAGTCTTAAGGGCCCGTTTAGTTCGTTGATTCGAATTTTTAATTCGAGTTGAGATGTGACTTTATGTGAGAGATTTTTACTGTAGTAAAATAGTTAGATGTGACTGTTTCTGAGAATATTTTGTTATAGGAAAACTCGAATTCTAAACTCAAATCAGTGAAATGAACGGAGCATATTTTGGATATTGCCCACAAATAACGTTTCATGGAAAGACATATATATATATATATATATATACATATATATATATATATATATAAAACTCCGATTTCTACTGTTCATTTGTCATCTTTTTTACTGTCGTAGAACATGTACCACGTTAGTTTCTAATCGACTCGGAAAGTGTTTCAAACTCCGATTTCTACTGTTTATTTGTCATCTTTTTTCTTCAAACATTGCTTCTCGCCATAATATATGGGCTTGCTCTCGAAGTTAATATTCTCGGCAGTGGTTTCTGGTTTTGTAGGTTAAAGGCTCAATAACGAGATCACTTCAGAAAAACTTGGGGCTTGTATGTTCAGTTTAAATTTTTTTGAGTGGAATTGTCTTATAACAAATAAAAGAAGCATTTCGAGAAAATTTCATAAATGCTCAATTATGTCCCTCTCTTTTAAATTATTGTAAATAGTTCATTTTGTCCCATCATATTGAGTCGTACATGATCTCATAGTTTTAATTGCTAATTTATGGTGGTGTTACCTTAAAACGCTATACGATCAGTGAGGAGTCTTGTTAGGGCTTGTTTGGTTATGGATTCGAACTAGGTATTTTGAATAAGAATTTAAATTTTAAAATTTTGGTGAGAGGAAATACTGTGGAACATAACATTTCAAATTCAAATGTGAGAAAACAAAATACAGTAGCAGAATTCATAGATTTAATTGCTAATTTATAGTGGTGTTACCTTAAAACACTATACGATCATTGAGGAGTCCTGTTAGGGCTTGTTTGGTTTGGATTCAAACTAGGTGTTTTGAATCAGAAATTATTTTTTAAAATTTTATGAGAGAAACTACTGTAAGAGAACATTTCAAATTCAAATGTGAGAAAAAAAATAATGTAGCAGAACTTTAAACCGGATTTCAAATTCCTCTACCAAGCAAGTCTTAAGGGCCCGTTTAGTTCGTTGATTCGAATTTTTAATTCGAGTTGAGATGTGACTTTATGTGAGAGATTTTTACTGTAGTAAAATAGTTAGATGTGACTGTTTCTGAGAATATTTTGTTATAGGAAAACTCGAATTCTAAACTCAAATCAGTGAAATGAACGGAGCATATTTTGGATATTGCCCACAAATAACGTTTCATGGAAAGACATATATATATATATATATATATACACATATATATATATATATATGGAGGAAGAGACTTGGTGGTTCGAGGTCTAGAAGATTTTGAAACTTGATCTAAATGAATTATATATAATTGCCACATACGTATGATAAGGTCTTTCTGATAATTATTATGTATAGCAACATGGTTTAAGGATCTCGTTTTATGAAAATTTCAAAAGTCCATTATCGACGGTTACTCCGATTTTTCTGAAGCGAAGTGGAGTGAATTTTAAGATGCAAAAATCTCTCACTTAAATATCTCTTGTTAGGTTCTATTATTTGTTATTTTTATTTTGTATATGCCTTTTAGGCGAATTTATTTTTCTTACCTCTCTTAACTTCTTTGAGTTTTTGTTTAAATGTATTTAGTAAATGGAGTCGGGAATATTGAATAGGATATTTAGAACATCTCTTTTGCAATGTTAAATTAGTGTGTCAATGCTAAATTTTAACATTTGAATTGAAAAATCACTCACCATTATAATGCTATTCTTTATGCTAAATATGTCATATGCTATTTGCCATCAAGTATAGCATATGACAAATGTGGCATTTAATTAATGTAATTTGATATGTTTACTTTTTTATTTCATCATTACAACATTTGTATTTCCAAATTATTTAAATTAAAAATTAAATTTAACAATTATCAAAGCTTAAAAATTATGACAACAAATAGAATTAGCATTCTAAATAGCAATATCTATCGGAGTACAAATTAAAATAGCATATTAAATAATTCATTTGTGTACTTTTTAATACTAAATATGTCATTAGCATTCCGATTTGGTTGGAGATGGTCTTAGCGCGGGTCGACACTAACTAACGTTGGAATGTACTAAATTTGAGTTATTTTTCCCACGCCTTCTCTTGTTTAGCAAAATAGACAAAATAAAAAAATATGATAACTACATCCACTAAAGTGACAATTTTCCCCATCAATTTTGCCATTCAACATGGCTGCTGGTAGGAAAAAGGTGTGGCAAAGCACAATCAGCCATCCATATGAAAGGTTGGCCTACTCCTTCACGTAATGACTTCCTCCGAAAACGCCATTTCTCTGGTGTTCTTCTTGCCAATTGATGCCTAATTCGTATTCTTTCCGTTTCTCTTTTAACCACAGCCACAAACTTCAATACGCTTTTCCCTTAGATTAATCTCTGAATATTGACTTTGAAACGCATACATATATGTACGGACCATTTTTGCTGTATCAAATTACACACAAATCTGCGTGATATATATATATATATATATATATATATGTTTAGACAAATATTTACTGAATCCTTTTCACTGTGACGCTGAAAGTTACTAATTTTGTCGTCACCATATAAATAGGGTGTGATGCTTGAAAATTACTGGATTCGGCTTAGGCACACTTGAAACTATTGTCGCAAATATTAGTACGTCTCATTTGAAACCATTGAGTAATATGTTTATATTCTATAAAGCTTTATGGGGAAGATTTGAGGGAAATTATCGCTGCAGTGTAGACACCTAAGTTAATCACGAGTTTCCTTACCTAATACTGCTCTTAGAAACGAATGTAACAATTTCTCGATTTGTACGTGTTATTTTTCCAGATGAATCATGCTAATCTTCTGTTTATCGTTCCGATTTTTATTGGATGTCCACAAAGGGACTAATGCTTTGGATAACTGTTAACATGGATCATGCCATTTCTCAGGTGTTCTTGCCAATTGCCTCATTCAGATTCTTTTCGTTTCTCTTTTAACCACAGCCACAAACTTCAATATGCTTTTCTCTTAAGATTAATCAAAATCTGAATTATTGACTTCTATTCACAGATGTTATATATGTACGGACTTGTACTGTCAATTTGTATCCAATTACACCCAAATCTGCTTGATATATATGTTTTATCCGAAAAAAACAAGGCCTTTTCACTACGGCACGGAAAGTTAACAGGGACTCGTTGAGTTCGCGGTTTCGAGTTTTTAATTTAAGTTGAGATGTGATTTTATGTTATAACTTTTCACTGTAGTAAAAAAAATTAAATGTGACTTTTTGTGAGAATTTTTAATTGTAGCACAACTGAAATTAAAAACTCGAATTGTTGAAATGAACGAGGCCTAATTTTGTCACCGAGTTTCCTTACCCACTGCTCTTAGAAACAAATGTATTTCTCGATTTGTACGCGGGTTATTTATTTATTTATTATTATTTTTTGCGAGGATCGTGCTAATCTTTTATATGTCGTTATAATTTTCATTAGATGTCTCCAAAGGGACTAATGTATTAGATAACTGTTAACAAAATGAAACAAAATATTAACCTTGAAATTAAAAACAAATAGTTGACATTTTGCAAGGTCTTCATCAGTAGGGCGGAAAATCACTAGTGGGGTTGGACTCTACGTTGAAAGAGTTAGGAAATGACACAATCAAGCGTGAACAACTTTAAAAAGTGCGTGCGATAAAAACCTGAGTAGGAAATTAAGGTCAACATGTATTATTTTAGTCCTCGTGTTGTTTTTGCGTGGCTATTATTTTTTTTTCTTTAGAAAAAAAAAATGACAATTAGCAGCACCACTCAAACCAATCACTTTAACTATTCTAATCATTCTTTTACATGAATGACTTTTGTAGTCATAAATCATAATTTTCTTTTTGATTTCACCAAAAGTGTCGCGTGCAAGTGCACGATCCCACCCAGTTTGTCGCCTTCCAAACTATATATTTTTCTCAAAATAAATAAATAAAAAGTAGGTGACTTGTACAGTCTTTTGACGCTTGTCGAGCAGAATTAGCCTTTGATGAAGCATTTTCTACAATAAAAAGTTTAAATCATGTCTAAGATAGGACAATATGGTTTCCACTAAGGCAATATATTAATGGACTTCTTATCTTATTGGTCTTTTTAGGACACTGAAATACGTCTCATTATACACACCTAACTTTTTATTGGGTTTATATATATATATATATATATAAATTTTTTCCTTCCAATGTGCAATTCCCTTTTAGCAACATTTGCCAAATTGATATGTTTAACTTTGTGTATACTTGGCATAATCTTATTGGACGAAACAAATGGTCTATGCCCTCAATATTTGGAGGGGGTAGTACAGGCCGGCGAGCGGTGATGATGGTGAAAATAAAAATAAATGGTGATAATAAAAATAAAAGAAAGTGCCTTGTCACTTCCTTTTTACTAAATGAAGTCCAACATTTATATTTGTTTTAAACAATGTTTATTTTGGCATAATTTAATACAAAAGCTTCTAGCTTGGTCGAATTCCATCACAATTAATAGTGTATGGATCATGTAAAGTTTGTACAAACTACTTTAATTTGGCTCAAACTTTTCCCTTATTGCTTGAGTAGTCAATATATGTTTGGTCACGATTAATATTAGCCACTCGAAAATTATAAATGGAGAAAAAGTTGGATAACTTTGTGCTCCACCCAAAGGGAAAAGCGAATCCCCCGCTTGTAGTATAATTTGTCGAGAAATCTTAAGATTTCTTCTGGGAAACATGTTTTTTTTTAGAAGCAAGATTGACCAAATACATTTCTAACCCAATATTTGTATTTCAATAAATGTCCTCTTTTCTTCTCCTTTCGCCTTTTAATTTTGGTTTCGGTAGTGCTTGAGATGGAGATCGAATATATATCATGGAGGATTGAATTATAGAACTTGAAACGGATATTTTTGTGTGTATACAAAGGCTCAACTCCTCTAAATAAAATATGTAAAAGTAGAGGATGCAAGTGTATAGCAATGACTTTGTAAAGTTAATAACAACACAAAATTTATTTCCCAAAGTATTATTTTTGTTACTTTAGATTCTTACTTGGCTGCTTTCTGATTTTCTTTTTTCTAATGAAACTTGTATAATTTGTAAATCATTCTTATCAAAACATTTTTTTTTCTATTTTTTCGTTTAAAATGATTTTTCTCACATATATTGTTATTCAAATACTTTTTACGTAGTCATCTAATATTATTATTTAAATACTTTTTATGTACGTAGTCATCTAATATTATTTTATACTTTTTACGTGGCACTTAAAACTTTTTCCTTTTGTCCAATCCTCTAATATGTTATTTTCTAAATTTGGCCTTCTCAATATTTTCTCCTTTTAATCAGTGTGTATCTATTTTAACAAAATAAATAAATAAATAAATAAATCAGTTTGTATCTATAAGATTGTAGAGAAGGGGGAATGACTTTTCTTTGGTTCTTCAACACTTGTTAATTACTGATCATTGCTTGTTTAATCAGTTTGCTTGCTTGTTTGCGTTTAGTTTAATTACTGATTGCTTTATTAAAAGCATGTAATGTTAAAAATGTTACTCCTTAAAGCGTCCTTTTCTAATTCCTTCTTTAGTTCTTATTTTTTTTGTAACAATTCCCTGATTAAACATTTTTTCAACGTCCACTAAGTTATTCTTTTCTCAAATATGGTCCTAATAATACTTTTGTTAGTAATTGCCCTACTAAAATGATTTTTTTTTCAAATATTCCAAAGTTATTTTTTTTTAAATCTTAAACTCCCATTTTAAGTGTTGCGATCAAAATAATGCTTATTTGCTTGCTTTGTTTTCTTTTTCTTTTTTTTTTCCCCCTTAAAAACAAGTGTATTTTTAATAATGTTTTCTTTATTGGTTTCTCCATTGAAATATCAATCTAAAAATAAAAAATAAAACTCTTATATTAATATTTAAGTGTTTCATAAAAACCTTATATTATTATTTAAATGTTTCATCTAAAAATAAAGATAGTTATAACGAGACTTTTGGATTATTTATAAAGCCATGGTCGACCACTGGATTGTATTTGGAGCCCACTCTTTTTCAGATCTAAAGAATTGATCAAATGCATCACTTTCTTTTTTCAGTATATATAATATATACATGCACTTATTTCTTCAATCGTTTCTCATTCAACTGCCATCATATATAATATAAATTTGTTGATTTTTTGTTCTACCATTATTTTATTTATATGTTACATTTAATAAGTTTCTAGTAAATTTTACAATTATTTTCAAAATGTTATGATCTTGTTTTTATTTGAAAATCAAATATAGGTTGGCTATATTCATTCATATTTGTATTTCAATGCTTGAAGATGAAAATTATTCTATACATAATCAAGTTGAAGACAGATTATAAGTTGAATTAGTATTTTTGTATATTCTCAGAATGAGAAACAATTAGAACAAATAGTTCTTTGTATAGAGACATCATGCTAACCATTCATAGTAATTTCAAATGAAATTCTTGCAAAAATACAAATAAATGAGAAAAAGCACATAAAGGAACAAATAAATTTAGTATAATCGGAACGTGCATTAGACACGTCCTTCATGCTAGTATGTAGAGAATTGCTTATGTATAAGTATTGTTCTATGGATGTCATTATATTTAGAGGACGTTTGCTTGATGGATTCGTGTGTTTTTTGTGAGAAAAAAATATTATAGCGAGCCACGAATTATAATTCAAATCATGTCACGAATCTTTAAACCAAACGCACTCTTACAGTTTAGACTCGGCACTCCTGAAGGACAAAAAACTATCCCTTTATATATATAAATATAAATACAAACGAGTATTATAGGTGGATGAGTTTTAAATGGTCATTTTCTTTTTTGTATCATATTAAAGTATGACCCTTTTAGAAGTATAAACAAGTGAGTGTGTGTATATTATTACATATTATACATATCCATCTCATTTTGGAATTTATTTTTTAAAAAAAGAGTATTATTCTAAGTGATATTCCATTTTTCTTTCCTAAAGATTAAAGATACTCTAGGTGATAATCTTACACTTTTACACATGAATAAAATTGTGACTCCAAAAAAAAAAAGAAATTGTAATTAAAAAGTCTACTTAAAAAAATCGTTGTCGTGAATAAAAAAAAGAAATTGTAATTAAAAAGTCTACTTAAAAAAATCGTTGTCAAATGGGTAAAAAAGAAATCTACTTGAACTCTAAGGTGACGTTTGTTTTAAGGGTTCTGTCTGGTTTAGGATCATAGTTTTTAGTTCTGCTACAATGTTTTTCTCTAACAAAAAATTTAAATTTTAAAAATCAGAATCATGAATCATGATTTTGAACCCATGAACCAAACGTCACCTAAAAATGGTTGATCACACCTTTTATAGGGTAATTGGGAACAAGCAATTGACCGTTGTCAAATATTATGCGCGTCGATGTGTGACGCATGTCGCTTTTACTACTTTGTCCTCATTGTCAGCGCGTTCTCTAATTTTGCAGAACCATTTTGAAATAAAAATGCTCCTATTGGTATGGATGTATGTGGATAATTATTTAGGCCCCGTTTATTTCATCGATTCGAGTTTTGCTACAATAAAAAGCTTTCAGAAACAGTCACATCTAACTTTTTTACTAAAGTAAAAAGTTCTCACATAAAATCATATCTCAACTTGAATCAGCGAACTAAATAGGCATTAATGCATTAAGGCCTCGTTCAGTTCGTTGATTCGAGTTTTCAATTCAAGTTGAGATGTGACTTTATGTGAGAACTTTTAACTGTAGCATAAGAAGTTAGATGTAACTTTTTGCGAGAGTTTTTAACTGTAGCAAAACTGGAATTGAAAACTCGGAGCAATGAAATGAACGAGGCCTAAGAAAGTTTGAGTAGGAATAT